AAGACCTAACAAGACAGGACCACAGAACCCACAAGTAGAAACAAAGTCTAACTGATATAACAGACACAGTGCAATACATGGAGAATGAGGAGCAGAGAACAATCTTGGATTGAGCCCATCCATGGAGTGGACAGCAACAATTGATGCTAAAAAGAAGAAGCCGAACGCACAAGAACAGACTGGATAAGCACCCTTCCCACGCACCAGCACCAACCAACACCGTAAGAACACCTGAAGCGGAGAACACCCAAATCGCAAAACACCGGGAGAGATATAAAGCAGCCCCAACACCCAAGACTGCAACAAGTGAGAAATATCCCACAAAGGAATTTGATAAGTAATGTCATGACCAATAGAAATCCAGGGAGGAGCATGTGGTCCCTTGAAGGACTTATTCAAAGGGCTCCCAATAGTGATAGCCGCAAGGCCATGAACAACGAACAACCAGAGCGGTATACACCAAAGCTGAAGGACTTTGGCCTCATCCAGACTGAAAATGTCGATGCCAGTGTGGTGGAGACAGGGTGGCGTCCAAGCCCAAACCAACGTCGAGGCAAGACAGACATCAATACAACACACAGAGAAAATTATAACTAAAAAAGAGACGACAAACATATGACTTGGGTCAAAGGGGAAGAGCGGAGCACGACACCCAAACAACGGCCAAGGGATGGCTCGAGAAGGATTTATCATAAGAGTAGCCACATGGGCCAGGTCAGATAGACAATTAGCAAGAAGAGTTCGATCCAACAGCAATTGGGCTTGTAATTGGACCAGCCCAACTCCAAAAAAGGAACAAGTAGTGGATTTAGCCACCACAAGTATAGTCAAGAGGAACAGTGAGTGTAAACGTGGGTGGAACAACACAGCACATTCCTGCCAAACGGCCACTCTACAAGCCACAAAAGTATTCAAGACGAACTAAGACGTGTGAGGGAAAAGAGGACACGTCACCAGACACCATGCAAACCGAGGACAGCGTGCAGGCGAAGGAAAACATGCCAGAATGGATGGAGCGGCAAAACCCCATCATCGGAGAATCCAGCAACAAGAGAGAAGCACCTCCAAGCATGATGAGAAGCGAAACAACCGCTCCCCAGAAACACTCCAGGCATATAACAGATTCCGGTACCACTCCCCCACAGACTATAGAACACGATAGCTAGAAGAAACGAAAGGAAAGTCAGATTGGAGACATGAAACCGTCCCATGCAATACCAGAACCCTATCCACCCCATCCGGGAGCACTCCCACAAGCGGAGCCACGACAAACGCCGACCAACAACCCACACAAAAGAGAAGAAAAAACACACACCAGACTACACCGCCAAGAACCCACCCAAACAAAGACAGAAATTAGAGACCACAACAACACTAGAAGAAGCCACCAAGCCCACAAGAAGAAAACCTCACGAGTAAAGCGAAACCGGAAACGCGAATAGCTGGGAACAAGCATCACGTGCAACCCACAGCAAAATCACACAGCACCAGGAAAGAAACTCAAAACTCTTCTCAGACAAAGAAACTCAAAAGAACTGAGAACTCTCGTGAGAGAGAAGAACTTCCTTGCTCTAGCTTGGATATGGCAACTGAGACTTGTGCACACCCTTACTCAAACACAGAAACTGTATGTTGGTATATATTATAATATGTATAGGCTGTATATTGATGGGTGTTGCATGCCATTTCCTCCAATCATGACTAATATTTTAGAAGGTCAGATTCTCTCACCGCCCAATATCTAGCTAGTACGGCGAAGCAGCAGCTTTTTATCAATCATTCAATTTCCTTCTCTTCATAGTACTCTCAGCAACCAAATAGAGGTATAAGTAAGGTCAAGCAACATATTCAAATCAGAAGCATCAAACTATGATTAGCAAATCAGAAGAGGGCTTTCAATTTCCTTATCTTCAGAGTACACTCAACAACCAAATAGAGGTATTAGTAATGTCAAGCAACAGATCCAAATCAGAAGCATCAAACTATAGCTAGCGCAAATTAGAAGAATCAAAATGATATAAAAAATTAAAAATTTATATAATTTTAGCGAAAATCAGAAGAATCAAGTATTACAGTCAAACACATACAGGTATGATTTTATATGCAGACCATATAATCAAATAGATCGAAAAGTAAAATTCCAATAAAATTGTCAAGTCCAATACGTGTTCCCTGCGTATTCTATTCGTGTCTAATAAAAAATAATTTTTGGACATTTCACAAAAATATCGGTACTAGAATACGTGTCCGACACTGATATGAGATTTTTGCAACTTGTGAAATATCAACTCTACCTTCCTTTCTTTTGATTGGGGTGTTTACTTTTCCAATAGTATTCTGTTTGAATAATGACTTTGTTTTCTCCCCGAGCACATTCCCAGTCACATGCAATTGATCAAATACCAACGTCCCATTCGACCTTCCCTCTGATTCCGGTTTGAATCTAGCAAAGCCATGGGGTTGATGCAAATTGCAAAGGTTGGACTATATGCCCTCCCATTTCCTGCCAAAGATAAGGTCGGTAACAGTCCATTGGTCATTGTTGAATTTGTTGGGATGTAACCATCCAAAATATGGGAGAGATATCTCTTTCCCAAACGATCATAAGCCTATATATAAATCCAACTTTTTTGTGATGTTGGTCTGTCTTGAATCATTCAATAAGATAATATCTAGTAGTAATTCAGACAAATGTTTAACGAATAATTATAATTATTTTAATATCATATCTTAATTTCAGAATAAAATAGAAAGTCAAAGTTGTACAAATCATTGACGTACGTGTCAAATTAATGAGCCATGCTATGTAAATTGTAGAATATTTAAAAAATCATCAAGATGTGAAATTACAGTGTAAGACAAAGTCAGAAGGTCAGCAACAAGAAGTCATAGATTAAGAAAGAAGATATGGAGAAATCCTATGAGTAAGCTCCTAACTTTTCATACTAATTTCATCCATCTTAATATATATATATATATATATATATATATATATATATATATATATTCATGGCAAAATTGTTAAGGGTTAATAGTCAGAGAGATAGCTGCCTCAACTTTTCCTCAGTTTTCTCTCTTCCTCATCTCTCTCTCGCAGGTGCTCGACCCCTTCTACTTTGCTCCCAGCTCCCTTCCATAGAAGTGGAGAAGTTACTTTACTTGCCTCCCACATGTTAATAATATCGGCGTGTCACAATAAGTTTGTATGTGGGTGGTTTTTCACGCCTTTTTTTTGTTTTGTATGATTAGATCTGTTTTGTTTGGTTTGTTTCAGACTCGACATGGTGGATTTGTTATTTTCCTTTCTGCTAGATTTCTGATCTAGATCGATTTTTGTTTTTCTCTGGCTTGATTTGATCTTGTGCGGGGTTGGGTGTGTGGAGGCGCCTTATGGATGCAGTTTTGGAACTGTTGCCTTGATGATGGTCTAACCTTTAGTCATTCCAGTTTGCTGCTCTTCTCCCTAAGTGATTTTCGTTCTACAGCGGTGACTCTTTCTCAATAAATCTGGAGCCTATTCTTCATTTTATCGTATTATTTCATGATTTGTATATCTTTATCTGGCTTGGCTTATGTCTTTGTATTGCCTCTTGGCTTAGCCTTTGTGCCTTTCAAGTGATATAAAAAAAAAAGAAAAAAAAGAAAAAAAGAAAAGAAAAGAAATAGTTAGAGAGAATGTAGAGGGTATAAGATTCGAACACATAAAATAATTTAACTATTCAGATAACATAACACTTGCTATCCATCTTATTCTTAATTTTAAAATATTATATAAATCAGGTTATTTTATTTTAATTTTTAATTACAACACATTTTTTTGTAATTCACACGCATAATCTTAATGTGAATATCTAAGATGTTACACTAGCTCAGATAAGAAGATTATAAAAACCTGAAAAATTAGTATAAATTATTAAAAAAAGTATAATATCCAAAGTCTCGTCAATAAATTTCAGATCCAATAGATTATAAAAACCTGAAAAAATACCAAAAGGGATTTTGCTATTTAAGGGCGAATGACTTCAAAAGTATTTTTCAATAGAATATGACATTGCTTTGAGACAACCAAACAATCCAACGACCAAATGTAACGGAATTTTGTCCGTTTTATGATTGTGTGCGGGTCCTACTTGTCCTTCCCACATGCATGGCGACCCAATATAACAAAGACAAGTGTAGGTACGTACGAGAATAACGCACCACAATTCTTACATACTCAACAGGAGTACGTGCTCCCACGTGCATCGAATTATTAGAATTTAGAATCGTCCATACTTGTGCATAAATTGCACGCATCCATGCAGACACATACGGTTACCAGACACACTAAATACATTCTTCTGATTAAATCATAAATGTAAATTTTATTTTTAATCAAAATGTGATTTATCATTTATATATATTAAAAAAAATTAGTTTCAAGATGTAATTTATATTTTACAATTAAAAATTATTTCTACATTTGTAATTTTATTACCTTAGTGATTATGATCACTTATCCATCTTGAGTGGGTAAATATTGTCCTATATTAAATATTAAATACAATCACTTAAAAAGTTATATACAATATTTGTCTAATTACCATAACTGATGAATCACAAATGCACATAAGCATAGTATCTGATTGCAAAATTTAAAAAAGTGATAAATAAAGAAATTAAAGAGCATGACTAAATTTATTATATAAAAAAAATGATATTATCTTAGTTTATAAATTTACTATTAAATTTTAAGCGTTGAAATTTTAAGTGACGAATATATTAATCTGTAAACTTGTTTGATATTGTATTAATTTTAAACACTAAATTTATTAAAACTGTTTATTAAACGCAAAAGCTAAAATTTAAATATTATATATACTATATTTTTACCTTGAATATCTTCTCAATATAATACTATTATAAAAGATATTAAATAAACTTCCAACTATTTATTTGTCAGCCACACATAACGGCGGTCAAGCTGATGCCCCGTGGACTCCCTCAACGTCTATAAAAGTATGAAATCCTCCATCCCCGGCCTTGCCAACTTTTCACGGCAAAATTTCTTCATCTTCTTCAAATTGAACCCCAGGGAAGTTCAGAAATCCTCAACGGAAAAGTCCTCTTCTTCTTCTCATTTGACCCGAGAACAAGAACACTCCATCATCGTCTCGGCTCTCACACACGTGATCAGCGGCTGCGATGGTGATCATCCCACCACTGATCTACTACAACCCCTCCACCAGCCTTCCAAAAGTGGCGGCACCAAGTTCTTCCCGCCAAATAATGAAGAGGAAAAAAAACAGATAAGTGAGAGCAAGAAGTACAGGGGAGTCCGGCAGAGGCCGTGGGGGAAGCGGGCTTCGGAGATCCGAGACCCTAAGCGAGCAGCCCGGGTGTGGCTTGGCGCGTTCGATACAGGGGAGGAAGCGGCGAGGGCTTACGACGAGGCCACCATTGAGTTCCGCGGAGCCAGCAGAGCCAAGCTTAACTTCCCATTGTCAGATCGATTATACAGACGGATCAAACTCAAACTCCGAAACGAACCAAGAAAATGAAGAGCTTAATCCGAATGCAAATGACAGGGATACGCCACAAAGCTCACAGTCCGGCAACAATGAAGTGCTCAGACCCAACTCGTTGGAGATCCATGAAGAGTAGTGAGACAGAGACAAATGTGGAAGAGAGTGAAGAGTTTTGGAAAGAGCTTCGTCAACTATAGATATATATAGTTGGGAGGATCAAGAGCTAATACTAATATAAATAATCACAACCTACATGCATGATTTAGATTTTTGGCGCACTCGGCACCAGAGTCAAATATAAGCTAGCTGCTTTAATGGGATAGAATATCACTATTTATTGAAATAGTGATTTAGAGAAATGTTTTATGAATCAGACTATGCCGAGTCCAGACTTTTATGAATCAGACAGTGCCGAGTCCACATTTATGAATCAGACTATTCTCCTACGTACAGATATGTGTTAAATTGCGTGGGCCTATTTCGTATATATATTTACAGTTGCGGTGTCCATCATATTTAATGGAATCGAGTTTTTATTGACCTCAGTTTTACAACTTAATCTGATAAATATAATTTTTTTGTGAATTTATTTGTCCTATATTTTTTAAGTCCATTTGGCACAAATAATATTATAATAATGGGCTTTTTTTTTTTTTTACTTCAAGACTCATAATTCTGTATAGGATTCGACATTGATTCCTTTTTAAAAAATAGTGGAGATGAATCCAAAATAAGCAGGGGTGGCAAATCACGATATGACTCACCAACACGACTTTGAATACGACACAAGATAAATGAGTTTGAGTTATCCTTAAATAGGTTCAGGTTTCAAACGGATTGACATGATTAACCCATTTACTTAATCATGTCGGGTTAGGATTGAGGGGGGTGAACACATGTAACCAGTTTAACTCAATATGTTATAATTATGAATATGTCATATGTAATATGTTACTTGTTTAAACTCAATTATTATGCATAGTTAAGTCGTTTTAACATAAACTTTGACAACGCCTTATGATTTTTCTTCTTATTTTGAATATTTAAGTTAATTGTGATAAAAAAATTTCTAGTATTTATTATTTGATTGAATATTAAATTTCTCATTTTGATAAACAGATCATCCCCTTTTAATAAATAGGTCGGGTTATTATTGATGGTTCCTGACACGAGTATTAAACAGGTCATGTTTGGATTTACTTATTTAGTATAATTTCCTTATATCGACATGACACGATTATGACACACGAACACTAATTGTCACACCTTAAAAATAGGTCTTTTTAACAAAGCGTTCACTGTACAATAAACAACTTAAAGAATATTTTTTTTATAAAATTTAAAAACTATCCATTTGCTCAAATGGCCTTAGTCACATACTTAGCCGTTATCTATTTTATTTCTTCTTATTTTCTTCGCTGCAACTTTTGTTTTCTAGCAAAATATCATCTATTTATTCTTTTCGATCCTATTTCCACCGCTAGCTGATTGAGTTGTGAGAAAAATATCAAGAACTCTTGCCTTTTCACTTTCACATGTAAGGTTGATTTCCCTCAAAAATGAAAAAAGAAATATGATTTTATTGTGACATGTTTTCTTTTTCTTTATTTTTTTTGGAAGAAAAAATTTGACAAGTTGTATGATGGTGTGTCGCCTCACCACAAGCTTAAGAGTGTGCATTAAGGCGAGGGCCAAGTTTTACATTTATAAAAGTCACTACTACCTTCACTAAAAATATAGTTAGGGTGAGTAGGGATCGTCCCAAGGGATTGGAGTCGGATTTGGTTGTGGAATCACTATTAGGGTTAGTAGGTCGAGTGATCAAACAAATAGTTGGTTGGTTGGTTGATTAAACTAGAGAACAAATTAAACTAAATAATTGAATGCAATAAAGAGTAAGTAAGAGAGAGATCTTGGGGTTTAGAGGTCACCACCAAACCATACTCTTCTACACCCTTAACAAGTGACTAACGAGGGAAATGTGTGTTGCAATATTGATGTGTGTGTATGTTTGGTTGATTCAATTATCAAGGGTGACCAATTAAGTATGTATTGTCTAAACAACATGTGAAAAACACAATATATCTAACAATTAAGTATATATTGTCTAAATAGCATGTGAAAAGCATAATATATCTAGCAAGTCATTAATCCTTTGATTAAGCTCACAAGCCAAATACACCACAAGGTTAGAGACATATGCTACTTGCATTCAAAAGTATGGAACATCAAACAACAAGTATGGATTGTCCTCCCATCTAACAACTATGCTACCACTATAATATAATTAAGCTAATGACATGAAATTAAACTAATTAAGCTAAGGGAGAGGCACAATCCATCAAGAAATGAGCATGAACCATCAAAAAAATTACAAGAGCATTCCATTAAGCACAATGTTTTGACAATCTCTAGATTTATGGCATTAATACACATAGACATGCATCAATAACATAAGAAATAGAGACAAACACATGAACATCTATTCTAGCATACATAGACATATGGATAAAATGAAATGATCAATTGGAAACATTAAATCACATAAATCATTGAATAAACAAGATCTATATATATAAAAGTGCCAAAACATATATTACAACACTAATCCCTCAATAATACACAAAATCAAGATGTAGAAAGTATGCTTGGGGCTAACTCTAGCCCCAAGAGGATGTTTAGCCACTCATAATAGTGCTTTTTCAACCTTCAAGGGCTAACTCCATGGTAGAGATTTGCTCCTTGGTTGATTAAGAGTCTCCAATGGTGTCTCTAGCCTCCTCCTCCTCTAGGCTTCCTCTCTAAGAGTTCTACAAGGTATGATATGATATAATGTAAAAAGTAATCCTTATCCTTATATAGGTAGGTCAAATGACACCCAAAATAAGCTGGGGTCGTACAACAAATATTCCCTAATGATTGGATAAAGGATAACTTTTTGTAAGCTGGAAATTTAACTTTTTCGCACTAGAGGAAGTTTGATCGATCGAACCTTGGACTTGGATCGATCGAACATGGCTGAGATCTATCGAACTGAAGTTGGATCGATCCTCAATAGCGGTGCTTTTTGGATAAAAAAAAATCTGAGATATTTCGAAGATATTTTTGGGAAAAAGGACAAAAGTGGTTTGTAGGGTGGTACAACTAAATAAGATCAATCATTTGAATAAGGATAAGGTAGTTTGATCTATCGAAGAATGATGTTGGATCGATCGAACTTTTGAGATATCTGAAAATGTCATCATGACTCTGATCCATCTTAAAGTGCTGAGCTCGATCATGTTGCATCGATCGAACTTTGATCTGAGATCGATCAAAGATGTTAATTTCCACATTTTTCTTCCTTTTCCTTCCACTTGGCTCATTTCTTTGATTCATCCCAGAATTGCTTCATTTTTACTCTTATTTGGCAGAGTTAGCTTATTTTCGGGATAAGTGCATGAAAATGGAAATAATACGAAATCAATCTAAAACGGTAAAGTAAGATAGATAAGGGTACTAGAATGCCTAAGCTTAAGAGGTTTAAATACGCACTTTTCAACGCTCATCACACCCCCAAGCTTAAATATTGCTAGTCCCTAGCAATGAACTAAAAAGTAAAAGAATGAAATGAATAACTAAACAACTATAAACTAGAAAATAATAAATGGATAATGCCACTTTCGTAGGGAACATGATTGCACTTAGCGTATGCAACAAGCCTTTTAAATACCTAGGTTACCCCTAGTGGACGAGTTAAGTCTCGTGAGGGTTTTCAGAAATGATACCCACAAACATTAAGCTCATTCTTTCAAAAGAGGCACTAATATTGCAGACAAGTATTGGAACAAAACTACCTCAAGTATGCAATGTTTCAAACATTTCTAAGCAATCTCCTAAAATCTCAACATCAAACAAACAAGTATGGTCCTCCACACATCAAGAAAATGATCATGCAAATCAAAACAACTCTAAAAATCCTTTTTGAGTGGACCGACATCAAATATGTTGCTATCTAAGCCAACTAAAGAATTAATCACATCCTTACCCTCAAACTAGCACATAAATCTAGTACCGATCATCAAGACAAAAAGTGGACCTTTTTATTAAAGCTTTATTGTTCTAGGTGCGCTTATTCTTTTCACTCATTTTTTTTTTTTTTTTTCAATTATTAACCTAGAGTTTGGGCCCTCCACCTTTCGGCACGAGAAATTCAGTGCTTGATGAGGCTAGAATCTCGGCTACTTAGTGAAAAGGGGTTGTTATCCACCTTTGTCAAGAATGAAAGTTTTCAATGCACTACTAGCCCAATTGGAATATAACCAATTCAATAATCAACAAAGCATGTACCCCATAAATGAATGCTAGTATGCGCCTGTGCTAGTGTACAATCCTAAAGTGAATCCCAAAACAATCATAAAATCAAGATGATGTGGACCACAAATGCAAGCAAGATATCAATCTTTCAAAAAATTTACTCCTAAATGGCATCCATAAGGCATACAAGGAGTATTGGACTCTCAAGTCAAGTAATTTTAAATTTTAAGCAATATAGTTCTCAAAAGATCAAAATCATTGCTAATATGGACCAATCATGGAAAATCTCTCAAATACACAAGTCATGCTCAAAATTTTGAAGTTTAAAGTTAACACTGTACAGTACACCATTACCCCTAAACTTAAACGGCACAATGTCCTCAATGTGCAAAGAGAATAAAAGGAAAGAGTATACCGGTGTAATTAAGGCAAAGAATGGCTAGGACTGAAGTATCTAAAGTGGGTGGCATGGCCCTCTCAAACTTGGGATTAACTGTGGTCCTGAAATTTGATACTCGGATAAATTCATCAGATAACAAAAAGGGATAAACAGTGCACAGTGGACATGCAAGTGTAAATAAGATAATGGAATAAAGCAATGAGAGAGGTATAAGGGTGGTCCTGAAAATCAGGTAGCACTCTCTCACTGAAGTCACTGTGATGTACTTGATGGAGTTAAACATACAGATATAAGAATATAACACATGACATCCTTAACAAAAGCATATATAAAGAAA